TTAGAGTCATTGTTTAAAGCAATCTGGGATTCTAGAGGATTGCTTTTTGTTTTGCTGTAAAAGTCTTGTGTCACTCCCGCAACTAATCAGATGCAAAACAAAAAACAATTGTTTCATTATGCTTTGGTTGGTTTTACTATCTCAGATCCAAAAATTTCATTGAAGGAGGAACAATGGGCTGAAATTAAGTCTGCATGCAAAAGGTTTGAGCCAATATGCTATCTCACATTTCAATATTTTTAGGCCTCGTATACACACTTTTCCCATCCAAATTGGACATCTGACTACAAAAGAACTTAAAATCAATGAGCTGTACTCGGGAATGATCAAAATCTCCCTGGTTTTCAACAACAGGAAAAGGAAAGAAAATGCTGTGTTTTTGTCATTGGCCTCTCACATGCTGATTACCGTATGATTACTGATGATGTTCTTGGCAAAATGGAAAAAAATGCTCATGCTTTTGAAGAAGATGAATAAAAAGGGGAAAAAAGCAGACAGAGAGAAAAAAGTTGCCACCACAAGGTATCAATCCCAGTTCCTTCTGCTTGAGATAAGTGCTATCCATTGCACCACACTTGCAAACCGTCCTTAGGATTGAAAACCAGCTTTCAGAGATTAGACCTTATCTCCCTTAACCAAAATTTTCAAAATATTAAGTCAATGTAGTGGCCTCAACATCTCATCCCTTCATAATTAACTTTCTGAGTTGCTTGGCTTGCAGCCTCTAAATTTATTTTGAGTTCTCATTGATTCTTGGCTATATTTTTCTGATTAACTCTGTCTGGTTCCTCTGATTTCTTAAGTTTCTGTTTGAAGACACTCAGTGCAAATAAGTTGTATTTCAAAGTACAAGCACAGAAATTAAGTCCTATGAGGATTGTTGGGTATGACGTACAATTTCATCCTACCAACATTTAGTGGGGTGAGAATATTACTGTAACCAAATACATTAGAAGCTATCAAATGCACCAATAGCAACCTTCCCTGGTAGATTTTTTCCCTGCCTCAAAAAGTCGCTTATGAAGGTTACAAGATTTATTTATTTATTTATTTATTTATTTAACAATTCTCCTCAAGATTCTCCTTAAAGCATGAACTCTTCTAAATAAATTTTTCTTAGAATCAACAAAACCTACCTGCTAGGCAAAGAGGGATCAGAAAGTATTTACAGCTTCTATGAACACATACATGACAGCTCAGGTGCCAGTTTTGAATTTGCACAAACAGTAACTAAACTTGCATGGACAGAAATCTATCATCCTGGAAGGTATTGGTAATTGCAATTTTTTAGTGTTATACCTCTAAATCAAATTCTTCAGTTGGTTCACCAATATCTTCCAGTTCCAAGTCAGGACTAGCATCTTGAGAGAGCTCCTGCAGAGGCCTGAACAGTTTCCATTTGGTTTTCCCCTCTGTCTGGAGGATAAAGGTCTGCAAATGGAAATAAAATGTAACTAGCTAGGACCTATTCCCAAATACTGAGTTATGAGTTTTTCTTGAAGGAGTGGAAATGTCAGAATGTCTAAATAAATTAAAGAAAAAATAAAACTTTGAAAGCAGCAGTGGGTATTCCCCCAAATTAGCTAAATAAGGGTGATGAAATTAAGATAAAAAGTGGTTTGCAATCTCAAACAGCAACCCCCTGGAAATTATGTGTATTTGGTTGGAGAGGAGTTGAATCTTTTTCTTAAGGTACCCGACAAAATTCAACTCTCATTACCTCTTTTTCAGTGATGCTCATAGTGAAAATAAAAAATGAAAAAAGGTGAGAGTTTAGATTCTCGCCATCATTAAGGTGGGAAGTCCTGGTAAAAAATTGGAACCTCCCTTGTACTGACCTCCATATCATCATGCTGCGGAGCCAGCCCTTGTGATCCTGGTTGGAACACAAATGCGTCAACAAAAACGAGACAATTGAGATACGACTCGAGTGACTCTACCAATCTCCAAATCTCGTCCTATGGAAGAAATGCACAGAAAACAGTGGTAAACCAAGCCTGTCTCGTATGAAACAATTCATGATAAATGGGCGCTTGGGATCCTCCAGATTCGATTAAACAAACGAATGAAAAAAAGAGTTGCTTCTCACAGTCATAGGCATAAATAAATGACTCAAACCTCGCATTAAAAACATTCTGTGTGAAATAAACTTGCTCTTGTAGCTTAATCCATATAAATCTTTATTGACATTTGTAAAAACGTCTATATCCAACCCATCGAAGTCTTCCAGAGGTTTTCACACAAAATAGCGTGGGGGAAAACACAACATTCCGAACAAAAGTGCAACGATGTATAAAGGAACACAAACCTTAAATCTGTCTGGTTGATGAAACTGCACAGAAACTCCAGTGGCTTTGATGTGTTTCGAGTTGATGCGAGAGCCTTCTTCGTTCAACAGCTCCGTCTTCCCTTCGACGTAGCGACTCAAGTTTATGTCTTCAATGAAGTTTATTTCTTCCTTTTTCAAAATGGCTTCCAAATCTTTTTTAGAAAACAACGCTCCATAGAAGTCTGTATTCGCTCGCTTAACGAGATAAGGTTTCTTTTCCCAGGTTTCTGTGAAAAAGGTCTCCAGGTCCGCTACTGCAAGAAGCGTTTCAGCAACTCTCTTTGGCGTGGTGAAGTCAACCATCCTACTATCCGTTGTAGAAGTTTCGGGGTCGTTTTCACCTCCTACTTTTGTCTTTTTTCCTTCAGGTGAACTCGCTGAGGCACTAGCAGCTCGACCCTTTCGCTTCATACCGTAAGCAGTTCAAGTAAACGAGGAAAGTATGACTAAAGCGACAACGACGTTGTCACCGTTTCGCGACTTCTACTCACGTGGAATCATGTCGCAAAGGCGCGCAAATTTAGCCTATTTTGATTGGTCTATTTCTTCGCGCCAATTATTATTTGGAGGTTCCAAACGGGTTTTGGGCAACCTTGAATTATTTATCAAATTGCGACAGTTTAAAACGTCGGACGACTTCATCGGAGATTCCAAAGCCAGATCAGGACACTTCAGGATTGGTTTCTTAACGAATAATCTTGATCTTTCATTAAAAACGAGTACGACGAGGTCGACTATTTTGTCTAATTTTATCCAGTGAGCTAGCAATACTTGTCATCAAACCACTACCAAAACAAGAGACTTTATTCTTCTGAAGAAACTAGTCCCAGATTAACGGGTATTTACTCATGCTCACAGAATCCTTTTTCCTTTTATTGAAAGACTTCTTGCACGACCAACGTCTGAGGTGGAGACTAGAGATGTCCATTCATCTTAGTAACGTGTGATGAGAGGGGTTCTAAAAAAAATTCTTCCCAGTCTATTTTCTTCAGTGTTTTGATAACAGTATACCCTACAGTAGAGACAGGCGAGCAGGTATAAAAAAATCTTCACTTTAACTGTAGCAAGTGCATTTGATACCCCACTCAAGTACACACCTTCTCCCCCTCCGTACAGTAGAACAGTTTCACCTCCAGGCTGACCTCAGGAAGAGACCCTTTAGAATTGTCTATTTGAAAGCAAGAGGAGAGAAACCTTTATATAAAGATGTGCCATCAATTTTAATAAATAATAGAAATTAACATGTATGTATTTTAATTTTAAATAAGTTTTCCAAAAGACTACGTCTTCGACGCTTTGTTAAGCTTAAGCTTCATGAAACAAACATCACACCCCTAAATTTTCATCTTTCTTATCCCTCACTTCATGAACGTCTCTCAACACGAAAGGAGAAACTTTCCTTGAAGAGAAATGTCTCTTCAGGTGATAAACGTCTGTACAAAATTGACACAGGCACACGTGTCCGGCCTCGCCTTGACGTAAAATGCGCGCGAAGGAAGATCTTGCCCACGCCTTCACAAATCGTGCCTGGCCTGCACGTTTTGCAAGCTGTTTTAGTGCCGGAGTGAGAACGTTTCTAGAAGCCATTCAACCCTTATCTCATTCTCTTTTTGCGTAATCCCCTTACTTCCTTGCGTCAAGGCGATTTTAGGAGACGAAGGAGGTGGAATACCTTGAAAATAACGATCTTATCTTATTCCTTGAACATTTCAAATGTCACGCGTCAGGTAGTAAAGAACAAGCACGACCGAAGTTATGGCGAATTCTGTTCTCTTTACTCTACTGCTACATTCGAGCTGCTACGCTTTGTTTTCATCCAAGTAACCTTTCAGGTCCAACATGTCTTTTTTCCCACTGAACCCACAGCAGGCCTTGTTTTCGAAGCGTGACTTCTGACTTGAAACACCTGCGACTAGAACAATTAGCAGAACCAAGGCGCCGCGCAGGTTAAATCGGTTTTTATTATCAAGAGTAACTTTCATTTCACTGAGCATGGCACGAGAGCCGATAACAACTGTAGGGTCACTTTTTGTCAATTTGGAATGGCTCGAGATGAATCGAACAGCCGTCTGTATTGCTTTTCTGGAATAACTTATTCTACTCTGATTCACCCCTCGACCGCATTTCCAAAGCCAATAGGTGTGACAGTAAGGGAAAAACAGAATCAACCAATATTAGCAATTGACCGATAATTCCACACAGTGAATCAAGACGTGTTTGGTCTGGCTGTTCAATTAGTGAATTGCGCTTACTGATTGTACCTGCACTTCGGATATCGGGTGTCATTTCATTTACTCTTGTCAGTCGCGCGGGCCGCCGTAGGTAAAAGATAAAAAGAATAATAATTGGATGCCAAAGATGAAAGCGGTTCCGAAATGAAAGAGTAAACACAGAAATAAAACGGGAAACATTCCTCTCCACAGCTGAAAAAAGGCAAGTTGACAGCCGATCATGCCGAAATATATCAGCCAAAGTTAACATGAATTTATCATTAGCTGCGAATGTGAATTTTTTTTAATTAATGCCTCAAGCCTCAGGCACTTCGGCTCCGCCGTTGATGGAAATATCTTCAATCAACATACCCAATGAGTTACAGATTGCCAAAAATCGCTAAGAAACGCCAGAATGCGCCGCAAGGTCTCCGTATGAACTCAAAACAAACAGTAAATAATTAGCACAAAACAGATAACTTTTATACGTGCACGCTACCAGTGTCAATTAAAATTTTCAAGGCAAGAAAGTTAAATTAACACGACACATTTAAGATGGGAATCACCTCTGCCCCAGCGACCGACAAAAATTAAATCGCGAAGGAAACAAAATTGTCAATTTCAATTTCACTACCCCAATCAACCAAACACTTCACAATGAGAAGACCCATAGATGATTCTCAAAGCCTTTTAAAATAATCTTTGTTTACAACTTCATTTTCGATTGTTATATACATAAATATAGAAATCAACGCACGAAACGAAATGCAACCTTACTTTAGAAGTTTATGAGGACAACCTATGGGGTATCCAATTGAAAGGTACCAACAGTAGTAAAATTTCCTAGTCGTCAGAACTTTGGTAGCAAATTCACAGCAATCATAGATTGAATAAACCTTGTAAAGTGACAGTAAGATCTTTGGCGACAATCAAAATACATACATATCATTTAAATCTAAACTTCTGTAAAGAGTACGCAACAACAGCAAGCTCGAGCTTAGTAAGAACGCTTTCGATAACAGTGTTGTTTTTGGTCCATGTACAAAATAGATTTTCGCTCGCTGCATTCAGATTGCAAATTAGGTGCTAATTGTTAGCAACCAGCTGAGTGTGTTACAGCTAAGAAAAGCCTGACCCTTCATACTGATTTCGTCTTCGCCACAAAAGTGAACAAAAGACAAACAAACGCGAACTTGACGTGAATTGGGAAGGATAAAATATAAGTCTATCGCATTTGTTGAAGTAAATTGTCTGACAGGTGCTCCTGGAGCGACATTCAAACTGTTGTTTCGTTGGAGTGCCCGCCATTCCTTTGCGTCTGTGGTCGTGGGGGCCTTTTCCCGGTTAACACATAGTAAACCTTTTTCCACGATTGCAGAGTTTTCGGTGACCAGATCCATATTCCCGAAATTGTTCCAACGAACAGTGACATGAAAAGTTTCAGCATGAAAATGCTCAGATTTGGTTCGGCGATTCTATTATCCCGTTTGCCGTAAAACCAATATTCTTTATTTGCATACTCGTAAAAGTAACAGGCAATAACAGCGGTTGCCGGCACAGTTGAAAATACCGCAAATATTCCCAGACGAACGATCAGTCTTTCCAGTTTGTTCGTCTCGCTTTTTGTGTTTCCATCACGTTGTACGGTCGCGCGGATTCGAAACAGGCCGACGAATCCGGCGATTAGAAACAGTGTTCCGATAATAAGATATGTAAACTGTGGCCCCAAAACAAACGCGGCAAGCGCGATCAAATCTTGATTCCCAACAAAGCATAGTCCGGTCAACTCATCGCCGTCTATTTTGCCAGTTATGAAGATAAATATTGTTTTGATACAAGGCAAAGACCAGGCGATTACATGAAAGAGGTTGGAATACGAACCGATGGCTTCGTAGCCCCATTTCATTCCGGCTGCCAGAAACCACGTTAGCGCCAAAATAACCCACCAAATTGTCGCGGCCATGCTAAAGAAATACTGTACAAGAAACACAACGGCACATCCGGTATTTCGACGACCGTCTTGAATGAGAAATTTAGGCGTGTTGTACTCACGATCACAAGAGATCGCCTCTCGACCAGCTGCTAAACGAACGATGAACGAAATCGAGTAAAGAAGGTAACAAAGAGCAAGCCATATTATCGATCGTTCCGGATACTTGAACCTCACTGTATCCACAAAGAACGTGCACAGAACGGAAAGAGTCGACACTAAACACAATATAGACCAAACCGCCATCCACTTGTCCATCGTTTCTTTGTCCGATGTTTTAAAAATACCTTCTTGATTACAAAACACTGCACATGATCTTGTGCTCTCTACATAATAGTAATTGACGCTATTTTTAAATTTCCTGCACTCTTCCGAACCAGTGTATGTCGCTCCCGCTGGTGTCACTGTACGCGTGCCGTTCTGTTTTATGCCTGTGCTTCTTATGAGAGGAGGTTTTGGGCTGGCATCTTCAGTAAAATTCGGTCCTGTCATACACATCCTTTGGCCGTCGTTTCTCTCCAAGAACTTGGTGCAGTTGAGTTTCGCGGGCCACGGAATACCGAACTCGGCCAACACATGTAAACACTGCTTGCGAACGTACTCGCACAATGGCCTGCAGGATGTGATCAAAACGTCCACCATTTCGGTACACATCGGGAAATATGCCGAGCACAAAAAGAACTGCAACTGACTCGCACAATTGAAATTAATCAGAGGAAGAAACTGTTTGAATTGTACTTCGGCTTCTTTCTGAGTCTCATGGCCGAGCATGTTTGGTATTCGTGTCACGTTGTAACCCATGTTACTACAAAGTGGGGCATTTATCTTCTCACACTGCCATCCTTTCTTTCTAAAACCCTGACCGTGCACAGTGGCGACGGAACTAGCCAAGATCGCAACAACAAGTAAAGAAGACTTAAGCGGATCCATACAATACAGCAACAGCTGAGATCAACACTTGAAGCTTTCTGCCAGCACAGTACAATCGCGCACGCTCTTGAGGTTTCCAGATATTCGGACGCTGATCTGCGCTTAGAGACTTAAACTCTAAATTGGTTTTCGATGTAGGTACATAAGTTCGGTTTACCAGAACGGAATTCACAAATGCTAAATGTAAGCAATCGTTGATCTGCATGAGAATTGCTGGCAGTGTTGTTCTTTGTGCTCTACTCGGGCGATATACATTGCAACCAATCAGCGAGCGTTGCGTTGATTAAACGCCACGCCTGTCAAAACCATCTGTCAATTAGTTTTAATTTTGTTCTAAATTGCGATTGGTTGATCAAATCAGCAAAGCAAACCTAGTAAAATGCACGGTGCTTGCTTTCAATTTGCAAACTCTATTTCTATTTACACAGCATTTGTTTTCAACACATGAGAGGTTTTCTTTAGCCTTTGTTCTCTGAGATTGAGAACAAGTGCGTCATACTTCTACCGTGTGCCCTCAAGACTAATTTAGAGCGACTCCAAACACTTCAAGAATAAACAGGCAAGCCGCAAAGCCCGCTGCATGCAGTGTGATCGATGGTAGAGTTGTAGTAGTTTTCGAATGAGACATCTTTTTTAGATTTCCTTTCATTGATAACCAAGAGAAATCCATATTCCTTTAAACAAAAATTATACAGAAAAATAAAACTTAATTAAGGGCATACAGCGCCGTAACCAGGCTCCGTCATGGACATGAAAAATATCCGTCTCCTAAAAAATCTTGGCAACTCTTTCAAATCTCTCAACAAAAGTCAAGGTATTTATTTCTTAATTTATTTTTTACATATGTAACTTTCATGACCGTAATAAAATTTTGCCCTGCGTCCATCCCTCAATTAGCGATCACTCTCTTCAAGAAATTGTGAGTTTGTCAAAGGAAAAAAAAACGTGCTCAAACGTGCTCAAAATCGATCACATTGCACTCACGAAAGTATTGTATGTATATTTTTAATTTTCCATCAGAGATTTCAATTTTTTTAAGTCGTCAATTCATCGGATCGATGGTTTGGAACATAAATCAAAGCTATGCAGTAAAATATTAACGACGAAATTAAAATCAGCTTCGCTCCAAAACAAAAAATCTGCTGACTTATCATTTAATAGAGAAAGCGAAAATTTGATTGATAACTTGCTAAATCGAGTAATACGTTAGCCACCATTATAAGTCGATTATCGTGTGCGAACAGCGGGAAGCCTTCCCCGAATAAAGGAAAAAATATGTGCCGGCTCAGGGTTGCGGTTTGTTGACTTTAAGGCTTTTGTGCCCTTGTGATGTTCCAATTTGCTTCTTTAAACCAAGGGTTCAATTTTCAAAGAATCCCTTTGGGAAGATCCCTGCAGGTTAATCGGCAAGGTGAGCCTAAAAAGATTCCAACTATAAAAGAACACCGCTTCCCTTCTTAATAATCGGTCGATTTGTCTCCGGTTCATACTCAGCAGTGTTATGTCAAAGAAATCAATGAACATTGTCTTAGGTCACTGGTCCTTACTGTGAAATGGATAGACATAGAATTGCCGAAATCTAATTAACAGGACATCAATCTTCGTACTAATTATAACTCCTTCGAACTTCTGTCCTTCAACTTCGCGGCTTCGAGAAAGATTTATTTCCCTTCCCTAAAAAAAAAGCACTTTACATTGAGTATTTTCTTGTTTTTATTCATTGGAGCACTGAACTATAAGCAGTGCAAATTCGCTTAACATTAAGCGAACTGAAGCATGTTCCTCCGATTTCGAGCAAGTATGTTTCGCCCTCCTATCTGAAAGAGAAAGAACCTGTAATCACCAGTTACTTTCCTGACCAACTCAATAAATGACAGAACAAATAAAACTGGAAACAGAATCGCTCATTCATGACGAACCAAAAATATATGGCAAGGGTACAAAACTATTTAATTTTTTAAGTCGGCAGCCTTTCTGAGTTTATAATTTTATTTTCCTTATGGGGATGTGTTAATGAAAAGTCAACAATGATGCTACTATCTGATTTAATTTAGCGGCAGAGCAGTGCCGGGCTATAAAACGTTGGCTCCCTTAGCACTCAGTGGATTCCACGATTGTTTTCCTTCAATTGGTTGCCAATATTTCATGCTTTATTCATTTTCCCATAAATTTAATAATCAGGTTGAGAAAGCTAAAAAAAAAAGGACTGAAGGGGGCAAGGAAGCCCTTGGGAACTACAGGGCTTTTATACCCTTTTACAAGATGGGCTCCCTGTTGCAAATATTATGTTCACAGTTTAACCCTTTACACCATATTCTCCATACTGTTCTTTGTACATTTCCTAAGATGCTGACAAGGCGAATTTGTTTACTGATCAAGAGCTTCTTTAGTTGGTGATTATTTCCTTCATTCTCTTGACCTTAATGTGTGATTCAGGGGTGACATTATAGGAAGAAATTAAATGCGAGTCACTCTTAGGGTTTACACGGTTAAAGGTAGAATAGTGACGAGTCAAAGGCAGAGTAGAAACAAAGTTAAATCGTTACTTTAACCTACTTTTATTTGTATTAAGAATAAAAAAAACGGAAACAGAGAGGGAGCCGAATGTAAATTGATATATATTATTATGTAAGATATGATGAGTTTATGATATGGGGAATGCTTTACAATATGAAACAAAATTATTTAACATCTTTCCAAACTTATTTGAGGCAAACTTCAACTTTTTCTTCTTCTACCACTTATCCTGATTTGCAAAAATTTGTATCCTGCTGTGCGTTTACCAATGAGAAAACTCAGCTGTTCATTTTTCAGCAAAGCGACATTCCAAACATAATTAAGCTGATAAGTCTGTGCAGAAACTTGAAAATTTTACTCAGAAATTTCCTTCTGGTCTTATTATTGTAAATGAAACCCCCTGCCCAAAAAAGGCTTTCCATATGATTTATTCGGTATCCTTTACAGTGCAGCTGACCTCAGAGGACCCGGGAAGGAATAGACTTAATGAGTGGGCTTTTGGTGTTTCCCTTATCCAGTACTTCCTCTCTCACAGTGAGAGCCACGTTCTTCAATACATCATTGGTCATTATATCACCATTAGTTTATTCGAGGACCTGTTATGGACAAAAAAGAAACTGGATATTTCAGTGAAGTTTCTGGTTTTGATGACTAAGCTAAGCCACAAGTTTCTCGGCAACGTTTGATATGTTTAAGAATTTTAAACATTAGTTTTTGACTTTTTTGTTACACTTATTAGCTTTTGAAAGAAAGGTCACCTGTAACTCAATTAGTTTATACTGTGTAAGGACCCTAGTTAGATGCCTGTCCACGAGGTCAGCGGTATCACGTGGCACGTTGTAGCTTGTCACAAGCCCTTAGTATCTCACAAAAAGTAGATTATTCGCATATTACCCTCTAATATATCCTGTGGAATAGGCGTTCTATTCTAAAAATAAAATTTTGTTAAGAAGCAAAGTGCGAATAAAATCTACATATAATGTGAAGGATCTAACCTTTAACCCACAACAAAACCAACTTTAAGCCCAAACAAGTCCAGAAAAAACAGCTACATTTCGGCACTTTTTCGGTGACTTTTTGGAAATTCGGCAACTTTTCGGCAACTTTTTGGTACTTTTATCGGCAACTTGTGGCTACGCCTATTGGTGACCCCTACAATCATTTCAGATACCCCTCTTCTCGCAGCTTGAATTGACTGTTAGGGATTTTCAAACCAGGGTTGTAACGTGGATTTTTTCATAAGGTCTCTACGAAGTCAGTCTAAGCTGCACTGAAGTAAACAACAAAATTCGGTATTCTCTTATAAAGACTTGCTCGCTCGTGGCTGTATGCTTGTTTTTGGACTTTTGTTTTCACAGCCTCCCCATGATATCTTCTTTAAATTTGAATGGTGCTGGTCTCTCTTCAGTCAGTCGAATTCTAGCTCAGTCACACCGCGGTAACGGCCCAGTTCGATCAGGGAAGTAGACCGTAGTTAGATACTTAGTAAACTTCACTTTCAAAATCTGCCGGGCAATATTAGTGAACACTTGTCCTTCTCTAACCCAGTCCTCTCGCCGTCAATTCGGTGCAATATGGCGGTTATTCACATCAAGTAATATTGCAGTAATGTCTCAAGAACAAGTCATCGGACGGTGACAGTATGGTTGGTTTTTCAAAAATATTACATCCTTTTACCTCTAGGATTTCGTGTCACGAATTAGCACATACGTGGACTCCATCATGTTCTTCTGCGGCCGCAGGAATCTTTCGTTCGTGTTTTGTGGAATCCTTGAAAATTTATGGTCTCCTTTACATGGTAAGATGGCACTACAAAAATAATTATTTGCAAATTTTGATGACTTTTGATATCACATAGTAATGTAAGCTTATATATCAGGTAGTCTATATCTATAATACTAAAAAAACGGCTTTTGTATTAATAGTATCGTACTCCAAAAATCTTTGGTTAGTGGAAACCATAAATCATACGGTCATCACAAATACTTGTCTGAGGAATATTTCTCCTTGTTACGTAATAGTTGAGAGTGTTAGAGCACGTTTTCGGTGTTCACAGTAAAAGGAAGCAAAGTTGTTTTAAAAATCGTCACGAAGCCTTGAATTAACAAGTTTCTCTTGTTAATCAATTGAAAATGCTATGTTCCTAAGTCTTGGAATGTTATTATATCTCCCCACATGCCCAGGGAACAGAATTGAAGGAGTTGATCTGGATATTCTCTCCCTGTTGAATATTACATCCTTATGCCTTCAGATGATTCTGAATTTAAAAACAGGATTCTCTAATCTCCTCTTGGAATTGTAATTACAGGCTCCATACAGTTTTATTGAAGGTTGTTACTTATTTAAAATTCCAGTTGGAGGAAGACACATCCAGGAATAACAATGTGATTTTGTTTTTCCTAATCACAAATGTAATTAAAATTATGTAATCCCATAAGTCTGTAATGGCATTGTTTAATAGCAGAGAAAATCACACACCCAAGAAACCATGTCTTGTTTTCATCTACCACCTAGTAGCTTTGCTTAAGTTGACACCAAAAGGAGGCTACTAACAAACAATGGCTATTGTTATATACCTAGACTTTCTCTCAACAAAACAAGCACTGTGATTGGTTGATTCTTGGTCACATGCCCCTGATCGAATTCTAATGTATTCCAACTAGGATACAATTGTGCAGTTGTTGTCTGTGCACCAATTACAACAGCACATGATTGTTTAGGGGAAAGTCTAAATATGTAACAAAGCACTTAATGTATGGTCCCTCAGGAAACTAGTTAGCCTTGTTTTCCCTTGAGTTGATGGAAAGAGCAAACTCAGAAATGTTACATGGAAAACCAAATAAATAGTTGTATTGGACATAAAACTTTTGGTTTGAAATTGTATCCATTTATGCTCTACACTTTTTCCAGTATATCTATTATTAATATGAATGTGATATATTTATCATCTTTGGGTACTTCCAATTTTATTTGAAGATTGGTGGTATTCTGAGGAGGGCTGATGTAAAGTACTTTAAATATAAGTATCTACTGGATGTAATCAGGTCATCCTGTTTTCTGGCTGTCAATGGTGGAGGACTGGTGGTTTATGTCTGTCTATTAAGGTCTGTTTACTTTGATGATTTTGTTATAGTCTTGAACCCTTTAACTCCTGTGAGTGACCAAGACAGAATTTCTCCTTACAACATCAACACAATATCAACCAGATAAGTGATGAGAATAAAGGAAAATATCAATTTGGAGATAATTAGTTGATCCCATACTAAATTCTCTGAACTAACATTAAAAGAATTGTATGGTTGACAGTAAGGAGAAATACAAATTTGATCTGGGAGTTAAAGAGTTAAGACCAATTTAATAGACTTAGTGTTATAATGTTGTTGCCCTCCTGAAGTCTGCGTTGCTATGCTTGAGAGGCTCACGGTGTATGTGAAAAGCTCCGCTGAACATTACAGACAACAATTTTGAAATTGATTTAGGAACTAAGGAAATTTTAAGATTGGAGCATTTAATATTCCTCACATTTAGGATTAGTAGGGGCCTTGGAATTAGGAGCGTAAGATTTTAGGATTAGAACTTTTAATATTCTTCACATTACTATTATTACTTTCTTTTTTATTATTATCTTGTCCTTCTTTAAAGTTCAAGGAGGAAACATAAACGAAGCATGTATCTGTTAGTTTCTCCTAGATTTTTTTGGACATTTTAATTTATTTTTCTATTTTTAAAGGATTTTATCATAATTTTTGTAAATAATTTTAGCAATTGCAGTGAATAAAGGAATTTTATTTTAGTCAGTAAAGAAGAGATATATGATGTAAATGTGGATTTTTAATTTCCTGAAGTCTTTTACCATATACCTTGTGATATCGCATGTTTTCTTGGTTTGAAATGTTTCAAATCAGTTTCAATTAATAGTCAAATTATGATGATGGATATAACATAAAGAAAATTGATTTATAAAACTAAGGCAAATGTGTTTAAAATAGCAGGCGGTAGTACATTGGTCAATACCCAATGTGAAGAACATTTTTTCTTCTTTGTCAGGAAGCTCATTGGATCTTTCAGCTACCTGTCAACTGTGTTTCTCCCTGGATTTCTAGCATCTCTTACTGCCATTCTAGTTGAGAAAAAAAGCAGAAGAGGCACCCTTGCACTATACATGACAAATTTGGTAACTATCCTTAAATAACAGATATTTTTATAATTTTCATCATCTTTGTACATTTTTATAAATACCTATTTAAGGTTAATGGTGGTGTCTTAATACCAGGCTTCTCTGTGAACTCTTTTAATTGGGGGGATTTGTTTTAATCAGAGCCAACCTCCAAGAACTATCGCATGCCATTTCACCATTATAAAATGCTTTTGCCAACATATTTTTTGTATGACAGGTACTTCCGTGCTCCAACTCTTTTTTTCTTCAAGGCAATTTCGTCAAAGAAAAAGACAAACGGAAAGGTTTAACCATTGCTGTTATGTTCCTGGAGGTTGTCAAATATCTTCTGCCTGTTGGCTTCCTCTTTTCCCCTCTCAATTTTGGGGTTTGACAGAGGGAATGATAAAGAAAAACGTCAATGGAGAGAGTTGTGGGGTTGAATCATTTCAAACCCAACAACTCTTTTTGTCAGTTGAGGAATATGACTGTACTTTTCTATCTGTGTAAACCTTAGGGTGTTGAAACAACTTACAACATGCTAAAGGAGAGGGGTCTCATTCATCCTGTTCCTAATGGAGAGGTATGTTTTATACAATATATATATGTATATATTACCATCAACTTGCAGTGTTGTGATGTGCCCTGTCCATGTCCATGAGACTCACTGGTGATGATGGAACTGGAAGACTGAACTGCAAAAAATAATTTTGTTGGGATGTGTTTATTTTTCTGTTTTTAGAATGAAAATTTTGTATAACAATGGAGAGTTTGCCTAATGAACCAATTCCCTTAACTGCCAAAGCCAATCCCATTTTCTGTAACATGTGGACTAAGACTATAACTGCTGCTTTAGTGTGATACTTTTTCTTTTACTTTGATATCATTTGAAATTTGATTATTTTCTCTGAAATGCTTGCAGTGAAAATCTACTTAGTAGTACATACCTAAGGAAAAGGGTCCATTTCCTAAACTAAGTTTTCCACTCCAGGTTACTCTCA